ATTATTATATTATATATGTATGTCATAGCTATTATTGGTATACAGTATGTTTCATGAGGAATAACCATCATCTAACTCAGTATAGTCGGTGCTACTTATCTAGCGATTCACGATCCGAGAGCGCATCAAAAATATAGGTACAGTTAAGTAAATATTCAACAAATAACTTACAATCAAATAGAGAGACTTTTGAAGCCTATTGCATAATCCATCCACACTATTTTACATGACCTTCAAGTTAAAGAAGCTTGCATGCTGTTAATACCGCAGAAAATCACCTTACATAACTTCTATATTAACATGTGACGCAAATTGAAATTATTATAACAACATAAAATTTAAATCCAAAAAAAATACTGGATATAGAATAAGAAATAAAGAACGGTAAACATGGCAGTTATAAAGTTTCGGTCTAAAAGGACAATGGTTGTAGCTAATAAAGAAGCAAGTATATTTAAGCGAAAAAGAAAATTCATTGCAAGATGGTACGTTGTTCGCCGCAATTAATTAAGTATCTAAAAAATCATCAAACCTCCTGCATTGACACTAGGTGGTTTTATGATACAACATTTTTTAGGCCGTACTGTTAACTGTGTAACTTCACGGTGTTTCGTCTCAAATGAGACTACTTCACGGGACCCGTATATAAGGAACCCTTCGGTGAATAAATAATTAGTTTTTTGAAAGTATTTTATTTAAAAATGTACTTGGATATTACGTATTTTGTATCTAACATTTCGAATGTTAATACCAACAACAACTTGTATTCGCAACAGGTACTTTTTACCGAGGTATTCTAGTTAACTTGAAGGGTATTGAAGTAGGTAGGTACGTATAAGGGTATCAGTAAGGAAGGAGTTTCATTTAAATGAGGGTACATTAGTTCACTAGTTGGTTCTATCGAATTTAATACGAGTATAAAACTCTTATTTTACCCATCGAAATAAATTGTTCGCTAAATACATTGGGTAAATATTATTACGTCAAACGCATTGTCGATTTGTTTTCGATGCCAAATTTGAGTCACCGACATCCGAGGTGGGCGACCTCCCCGGTCACCTTGTCTTTGCCGTTGTCCCTTTGTCGAGTTCACTACACAATACTAATTGTGTAGTGAACTCGACAAAATAAATAAGTTTTTTTTTAAAATTAAACGACAAATTGACGTAAAGTAGAAAAAAAAGGATAGAAGACTATTGAAGTAAAATCTTTTTTATTTGTCACTTCAATGTTAATTTTTAACTAAACCACAAGAAAACCATTCTCGTATGTTTAATCTTTGTGTCAGGTTCTCAATTCCCGAAGATAGTAGGAATGTTCAAAATAGAATAACCTGAATATAAATGGTCACAAATGCGATATGGACACTTGCTACAATACAAAGGCTTTCTTAGATTACTTATCGTGTTCAATGTTACATATTTTACACATTCTATTTTCAAATATATAATTATATAAAAAATAATGCTACATTATGTAACGAAAAGTTTAAAAATATAAACATGCAATTAAACCATATAATAACATTAAACAACGAGAATAGGGTAGTATTATGTATGTTCTTAGTTAAACAGGTGTGACAAATACTTTATCGTAGTGTTTGTAATAACTCTATATCATAAAGATATCCAAAAAAATACACTGTTGAACTTAAGATTGGAATTTAAAACTCATTTTACTATCTAAACATGAAAATTATTTCAATACAATTATTGTTGAAAATGAATATAGAATTTAAAAGAGAGACTTATAATTGGGTGATCTAACCCTCTCACCGACATACCCCTCAGCCGTCGGAGATGGCAATCATCGTCAAGCGACAAATTATTTCAATGTTTTAAAATAATTCTAACGGTTTGAATTTGATGAAACATTGTTCCAATTCAGCCTTTGCTTGTTGACCTTTGAAACTTTTCATCATCAGCAGCCTTTGATAGTCCACTGCTGGACATAGGCCTCTCCTTAGAAAGGAGGTTTTGGCCTACTATTGAAGCTTTTATGACTACTTTAATGGGTATATTAAAACTTACTGACCTCTGCAGTGGGATTTAGGACATTTATTTTTGGAGATCAAACTACTCACTCCTTACATTGCTGTACTTATATTTGTCATCACTGGTCTCACCTAATCGCTCATAATTTCACTGACGTTTAAACTCTCGTCAGCGATCCTTGCTTCGTCTTCCATTTAATTTGTAGAGGGCCTAGTGAGTGTATTTCACATCAACTCGATCGTCACGGTGTCCGCGTATGCCCTCAGAACATTGTGCTCACACTTCATGTTCATAACAAGCGCCAACCGTGATTGGAATCTTAGTAACATACGTAACCCACGTTACGTTATGGTAGTAGATGTAGGTAAGTAGTGTGTATCGTACACTATTAGATTTACTGAAGTTTGAAAAAATAGTTGGTGAATATAGTGGATTTGTATAGAAATGAAATGTTGTGATAATAAGTTATTTTTTAAGTGATAACTTCTTATGGGAGGGTAAACCGCTTCGTTACGTAACGCGTTACGGCGCAAGTCGGTCTGGCTTCCCTTTCTCTCACGCATACGGCAGCGGTTGGCAGGCTCCACCTCTCTCACTCATCCCCATAGCGCTAGCTGTATTTCGGACAGACGCTTTACATAAAATTTAAGTAATAACCTAAGCTTTTCTTAACTTAAACAATTTCAATATTAAATAGTTCAACTTAGATTATTTTAAATTATCACTTCTGTCGGGCGTCCCGAGACGCACACGTTTTTTTTAAATTACACCGACTAGGATTTTACGTTTTAAATGTTACTAAAACAACGTATGTGGTGAACGTATTTCTGTTAATGTATAGATACTATGTGCTATAATATGTCCTTATTCTTAGAAATAATTTAGACAAATGTGTTTTCCATAACAGTGATATCACAAATCCTGCAGACTAGGCTTTAATGTTGCTGGACCCGAGTACGGATATTGGACATGTAAACTAAAACTACTACCAGAGTATTCTTTTTATTCTCAAGTCAGGGCCTAGTTTTGTACCCTACAGTACACATTAGTTGCGATTCACCTGTTTCGGATTTATACTCTGTAAAAACTATTTCAGCATGCATGAATTATTACCTTTTTATTCGTTACATAGCGCAACATAAATTGAATTATATATTTTTTCTCAACTGTCGGGACAAAAATATAAGTCAAAACTGTGACAACGCGGCACAGCTTACCGGATCAGATAGCAAAACTGTCTCTGCTATGTACATTTACAAGCATTACAAGTATTGCAAGCTTTTGGTTCGATTTCCACCAAAGCAAATAATTTTGTGAGCAGGATTATTTGTTCCGTATCTGGGTATAAGTTATCTTTAATAGGTATTTAGAAATTTGTGTATAAGTGTGTTTATCAGCAGTCTCCTACCATAGTCACTATCTCTGCATATTATTAGAAAAGACGGCCCGGTTTTAGATTATTATTATTATTTCGAAAGTCTGATTAACTCTTATACACTGCTATTACCGAGTTCCCAAAGAAAAGTACAAAAAAATGATCATACTATTCACAAACAATGTGAACCGATTTCTTTCAAATATTCGAAAATTTGATGTCATTGCCGTACTATAACTTGATTTTTTTTACATATTTGTCTAGACATGCAAAATATTCCAATTATACTAAAGAAGGCCTCATAAGTTTAGTCATTTTGCACACTGTTCTAAACGAATAGCCACTCCCTATATGTGGACCCATTATTACCTATTACCTCACAAAAACAATAAAAATACCTAAAAATGCAATTTAACATTCATATATAGTACTTTCTACTAAGTAAATGTATTATAATAATTTAAGCATTTACATCTGTAACTACAGTGAACTTTTTGCTAATATGTAATCAGTGCAAAGCAGTTGTTACACACAAACAATAGATGAAGTATCGTTTTTATGTTATGTTATAACATATATATATATATATATAACAGTAACTTCTTACGTAAACTACTTTAAAATACTCAAAGAACACATATTTATATAACTTAAACATGTTTTAATTAAATACAAAGTCAGAATAAACAATCTTAGAAACAAAACTTCAGCATAAAGGATGAAATAAAATTAATTAAGAAGATATTTGCGGAGTCATTGCATTCAAAGTCAATGGTAAGTAACATTAGCTATACATAAAATAAAATTCATAATCATGTAACTAAAACCTATAAATAACTTGTGCATTATAGTGTAAATAGGTACTTTATGACAAAGTTGCCTTAAACTAAATCTATGAGAGGTTTCATTAGAATATGTTACACAAACACTGGGACCACACATAAGCACCAAATTTTACATTTATGTAATGGCAACACAGGTGATTCAATACCTCGCTACTGTATTCACTTAAAATCGAGTCTTCACACACATAATGACTCAACTATATACCATAAAACTTACATTATTGAAGTATGCATTGATTGTACGTCAACATAGCATGCACTTTTCACTTCAGTATGAACATTTTCCTATTTTACATGAATGTATTTATTATTTTTTCATGACCCCTAAATCTATCATTTGAAAATCTCTTATTTGAGCATCAATTTACGTGTCAAACGTTTTGGAAGAAAATTAAAATTTTAGGTTAGATCTATCGTGACAATAGATTAGTGAAAAAGTTTATAATTGAATAGCATTCTTACAAAGCCGCTGCAAATAGAACTGTTATTTTTGTAGATGAAACTTAAATGGCACCAAATTAATAAGCTGTCTAATTCGGTTAGCCTCTTTACTATTAAGGGAAATATGTAACATTTTTATATAATTTATATACATATATAGGATACAAACACCTTACAAAACTGTATATTTTAACCGAACAAACGCAACAACACTATGAACACGTCTTAACCGAGAACCAACTGTCGCCACTTTACACTTCACATTATATGTCCGAGCTTAATCTAACTTCATTACCATTTATTTATCTGCCACAAGTTCAGTTATTAAAACTACTTTATTGCTCATTATTTATTTAAAGGCATACTTTCACTTACAGTTTGTGAGTCAGTCGAGTTGGCCGAGTCCTCGCCTAATAATCGGCTTAGCTGGTCGTCAAGCGTGTCCGCCCGCCGAGACTCGCGCTTGGACTCTTCCGTAGCGAACACGTCGTCCCCAGCCATCATTCCCTCGTCAAGATACGAGAACGAGTCCAAGTTTATGTCAGAAGTTGTGATTGCCGTGCTATATATGTCTATTCGCTTCCGTTGTGATATAGCTTCAGCTACCTTTTCAGACAGTTTTTCTTTCGCTTTCGTCAATGCTTCGCACTCAGACTTATCAAGTTTAGAGTCGTTCTCTTTTAATTTTTCACAAATTTTAGTTTTAAGGGCAAAAGAAGAATCGTTGCTCGATGAGCCATCGTCCTGCAGCTGACTGAGCAACGTTCGCGTCGCGAGGGACATGGCGCTCGAACTGCTGTACATGTCGCTGGCCTCACCTGAACAAATATTTACGTTTTCTTACAAATTAACCGTGTGAAAGAAAATAAAATAAATGTCAAAAGCAAAATTTACCACTTGGCGTCGCTCGCTGCATAGCTTCTTGTGATGAGTGTTTATTTTTCGACTTATGACTAGGCATGTATTCACTGTCGCTATCGCTTGACATACCTAAGTCTAAATGTAGTGAATTCAGTTTGTCCTCGTCTTTTCCTTTTCGCGATACAGTGTCTAGTTCCATTTCCCAATCCGTGACACTCGACGAGTCCTTGACACCTTCGTTTTCTTTCGTATAATTAGTTTTTCTGTCACCTTTTTCGATTAATGACAAACTCGTGTGTTCCATAGGAACCATTTCTCCTATACTAGCCGTAGAATCTAAGCTGCTCGCATTACACGTTTCTACCGTCATTTGACTATCGAATAACACTGGAGTATCTGGTGTGATTTGAGATAACTTTTTACCTTCATCGGCCACTCGCGGCATGTTACTCACTCGACTATCCAATATTTCTGACATTGTTGTAGTTCGTCCCGTCTGTTCATTGTTCAGTTCCAAAACAATAACGTTACCAGCACATTTAGAGGCATCTGTTTGGTCAGATTTCGACGCTTGTAAAAGTTGATTAACATTTTTGCCCATTATAACTTTAGACATATCGTTGCCATTTTTTGTAAATGTTAAAGCTTTGCTAAGTGTCGTCCCTTTCTGTACAACTATGACGCTGCCTTTAGCACTGGACGGTCTAACGATAGGATTGGTTATTTTAGGTGTAGTTACGGGTGCTAACCCTTTAACAGGCACGATGTCGGCTAAATTTGCAGTTTTGATTGGTTCTACGCCAACTATTTTGGCATTGGATGGGATTGAACTAACTGTAGCTGGTTTAGACATCACTGTCATTGCAGGCGATTTCGTGATTTGTGGCATCGACTGCGAACTAACTGGTACTAATTTCATTGCAGTGGGTATGCCTTTGAAATGTATTAACGGTATTTGTCCCTCATTACCGGGTTTCGTTCTTGCTTTAGCTGGTAATACAACCATCTTTTGGCCTGATTTAGGATTTAAAACTACTGCTTTAGCTGAGACTTTTAAGTCAGTCGCTGGAATACCTTTAGGTGTGAGTGTTTCTGTTAATTTGTTTGATATACTGTTTGTACTAATTGGCGGACCATCCCGGAGAGGCGTGCTGATGGCTGAAGTGATTATTACTTTTGAGTTTGGCAAGCTTTTATTGTCTGATGATGGCTTAGACACTACAATCATTTTATCTGTCATTAGCGGTGTGTGAGGATTACGATTCTTCGGTATTGAGCCGATTACTTTCGTCGTAACTAGCTTGCCAGGTGTGTTTAAAGCTTTCTGAGCAGAGCTAGGAGCAACAACTACTTGTCTATTAGACAAAAGCTTTATGCCCTCTGAGGGCTTCTGTAGTATTTTTAGTTCTGACATTTGTACTTTTTTATCTGTGCTCAATTCACCGCGGTTCTTTATTATAAATTGGCACGGTTTTCCAGTTATGGCTTGTTTAGTAACAGGCGTGCCTTGCGCCTGTAAGGACGTAGGGTCGTCAGGATGCGCATTTTCTGAAACTTCGAGTTCGTGTGGTACGGTCGCTGGTTGTGTAAGTAGCTGCATGGTTGGTGAATCTGTCACCATTCCCGGAGAAGATAGGACCTTAGGTTTTATCTCATCCATATAATCGGGCTTCGTTTTATTACCTAATATAGATTGAGCATAACTAGCTTGAAAAGTGTTTGGAGGGCCAGAATACTCCAATTGTAAGGTAGAAGGATTGTATTGCTTATTAGGAGACATTGGCAATTCTTGTTGCTTTTTCATCTGAGATTTAGAAATAACGGCATGTGAACTCTTAGAACTTTTGTGAGGTCGGCTCTTATGTGGGTGAGAACGTGGGTGACCATGACTTGGTTTACTAGTAGATACTTTGCTTACTTGATTATATGAATGTTTTGACTGTCCTGAAGGTTTACCTGTGCAGAAAAATAATAATTGATGATTATTAATTAATGAAATTCATTATTTCAGAATCATAAATATGGATTTTTTTTTTCATAGTTATATTTTCTTATACAATGTATATAAGAAAAACATAATAAACTTACTTGAGGCAGGTTGTGAGAATTTAGAATAGATCTGTGACAGATTGAGATGCTTTTGATTCATATTAACAGGTATGTTTCGCATGTTTTTCATTGGAATAGTTGAATCATCTGGTATTACACCTCCTTCTGGGATTTTTCTCTTTCGACTAACAAGTTCAGACTCCCATATCTAAAATACGAATTACAAAAAAAAAAATTATATGTATAGTACCACAGGACAAACCATAGACATTCTAAGATTACCAGCAGTAACTAGTTCTAATACATTACAACAGATACAAATAAACAAGAAGTCAAGAAAGTTCATAGTTTTTTATCCTGTTATGTTTAAAACACTTTTATTTACTTGCATTTGTCACTATGTAAGCAAATATAAAAAATAAATTTTAGCCTTCTTCTAAAATTGTAAAATGAAACTATGTGTACTTTGTTTGGATAATATTTATACTGTAATTTAGCATCTTGGAGCTGATATAATGGTGGGGGCATGCAGTAAATGATAAAACTCTTCAACGGCTACTAGGAGACTTGGTAATAACTGCCTAATGATGCAGTCCAAAAATGGGTAGTGGATCTTTTTTAAAATGCATCTAAGACTAAAAAGTCCAGTAGTATCATTTGTGCAATGATACTACTGCAATTGTGAGCCTGAAGTATGTCTGTTGCATCCTATCACTTACTCAACATTAAGGTTACCTACACAGGTAGGAACTCACTTTAGTAGTCTGGTCTTCCGTAGCCAGTGGTGGATATAAATTCTCATTAGCTGCATCATTTGTGTTAAGGGCACTTTCAGCTGTTTGACCTTCAGCATCTGGCATTTCCTCTTCATTGGATTTAGGCGCTACAAGTCTTTCAGCTTCAAGCCTCTTTTGAATTTCTTTATTTTCAGCAGCTGCAGCCTCAGCAGCTTTATCCGCAATCTCTGTATACATAGTCTGAGCGATACCTCTTGGTATCAGAGGCACTCTTCTCCGACCCTCGCTGATCCATCCTAGCCCTGTGTTTGGACCCGACAACCTATTTTGTAAAACATATAAGTACTTCATTGAAACAGAAAATAATACCAGCACACTAGAAATTCATTTATGCAATATGTAAAAATTTAAAACAGTTAAAATTAAATAATTTATACTGCTATCACAAGTTTTAAGATATATGATTATATTTTATTTTAATCTTACACATACATTTACTAAATATTAAAAATATCTATTTTGCTTGAATAAACTTTATTATTTAATACTTAATTTATCTAAAATATTTTTTTCAAAAAATAATTTATCTTAAAACTGAGACTTCTTAATGAGAGAAATAATTATTAAAAAAAATAATTTGACATTACAAAAATATTTAGGTTATCTGTCAAAATATCAATATTGGAAATTACTATCAAAAGCATACAATTTCACAATTAAAGTAAATAAAGCCTTTAATAAAACAGTAGCCAACTCACTCTGACAAGTAAAACACATATCTACAAGGCTGAGACTGAATATATAATAAAAAAATTGTATCTAAGAAGTTAAATATCATCAAGTTTTAAAACAATATTTTATGAATATACATCATAGATTCAATTATCAAAGGTAATCATCTAACCAAATACTCTAATACCTTTGACTTTTGGTTACTCTCAGCCATCTTTGACTTTGTCCAATAGTGTTTAAAAATAAATCAACATTCTTATTCAATAACATTACATTTCAACTTACTGATCTGCAATTGTTGCTAATAGCTCGTCATTGGACACGCGGCGCGCCTCAGCGCTATGCCGATCATTGCTTATATGCAAAACGGCGCGCAGTTCTTCCAATAGCTTTTTTCTGTTGTCTTCCAATGCTCCTTGTGCTCTGAACACACTGATCATATTCGAGTAGGCTTCTAATTCTATAAACAAACGAACAAACTATAAGTAGCCAATATAATGAGCACAATTATCAACAAATTAGCCATAACGCGTCGGGTATAATTCAAGAAAACCATAGGAGGGAAAATGAAAGCCATTTATAGGACTAAATTTATACCGAGTCTACGAAGTGTAAGGCGACATTCGTCCTGTGTCATGTTAAGGAGCATCGGCCACATTTTAAACGATTTTATTTGACACTAAAAGTTAACTCTTAATTATATGATTTTGAACATATTTTATAAAATAGTCAATTGGCAAATATCCATACTGTTTACTTCAAACGACAATTCGTTCATTTTGACACTTTAAATAAGAGAAGCGAAAATATAAAGCGTGTTGTCTATGATATAAGGGGATGCCTCAACTCTTTTTTTAAATACCCATAAACACCATGTGTAAAATAATGTAGATACATTTAGTTCGTACGTTATAACTTTAAGTGAAACATCTGATGTTGACATACATATGCTTGTCGTCGGTCAATTCACTGCCTATGTAGTCACAATGAAAAATTAGTAGTTCGTTTCGTTTTATTTCTATTTTAATAGAATTTTATTCATGAAAAAGATTAACATTAAATATTTCTAGTTTATGAACTCTACAAACCCTGTTAATTGTTGTGAATCGTTAACTAGAAACAGTTCTGTAATCAGTTATTGTTTGACTGGGATCAGCCTTATTCACTCTTAGGTGATAGTGATTAAGCACATAATATGGGTTTATCGTTGTTTCTCACCCAGTGAGTGTAATTACTGATGGCCCAACACTTTGTGAGGACGGGCTCACAAAGTATCAATGTACTTATGCCTCTTGAGTTTCAGGTGTCCGGTGGTAGAAGTCACTTACCATCAAGTGACTCGTTAACTCGTTCCACTATTAAAAACAAACGAAAATATTTGAACACGAAGTCAAGCTTCTAAATATTTAAGAAGCAAGAAAGGAATCGTAATTTAACCTTGCTCTTTTAACCAGAATATTAAACATCAAGAATAACGATAAAATATATTTTTTTATTATATTCAATTGAATTTCCCAATTTTAGTGATGTTATTCAAAGTCTTGCAACATTTTACCTAATGTGTCATAGACAAAAATGCATTCAATGATAGTTTATAAAGTAGGCTATAATTAAATTTTTTAGCACCTTTACTTTCAACAACCTTTTAGTATTATGAATAACTTAAATAAATAAAAATTTTGGTAATGTCAGAAAAGTTCAGAATATTCTTGACGTATAAATGTTGAATACATTGATTATATTAATAAAAATAATTATTACAATATTTTACTGACTTCCTTTAAAATAATTATCCAAACGTCTTTTTCTCAAAGATGTCAAAATTGTAATTAACACACACTTTATAAACAGTCATAATAACAAGATTGAATATATTATATGATTTATTTTATAAGTTCCGTACAAAACAAACTGAAATTCAACACAACAAAACAAACTGAATACAAAACAAACTGAAAACAAACAAATAGAATTTACTAGGTGTTTAGATCGAATTTAATATAAATTTTCAATGCAATCAACTCTATCTCTTTTTACTTACTAACCGTTTCTTTAAAACTTTACTCCTTACTCAGCCATAGGTATAAAAAATATTTCAGATAACAGCGTCGATAGGCTTGTACCTAATTCCAAAGCAACGTCTTTATATGAAAAGGGTATATTTTTTAATAAAAGCAGGTCAGAAAATGACCGTAGGACAAAAAATGGTACCTTTTACGTTTGGTTTCACAAACATTAATAAGAAATGGGAATATTAAATCTGATTCTTCAATTTAAATGCATCTTTTGAACCTTGGGGGGAGTTCTTGCTTTTAATTGCTTATTAGCCCTTTATGGCAATCTTTATTTTTGTGAATGCCTATTAAAGATGAATAGGGTAATGCAAAAAAAACATTTTTGAAAAGTGTCTGGATTAGATACCTAATAAAGTGCTAATAAACCACTAAAAAACCTCAACAAGCACAAATTGTGCATTCAACTGACATATTTTGCTTACACAGCCGTATGACGTAATTACATATCGGATACTATTTCACGGTGTTAGGAAATAGATTAAAAAGCGTAAAGTCTTTAAATTGAACTTCATAATTTATTTTGTTCTTTAATGAACTGAAATTAACACTTTCCTACTGCTTTTGCTTAAGTTAACTCCGATATATATTTTAATTTTTTTTCGGCTCGTTTCTGGTGCAAAGAATGTCCGTTGCAATTCAGCGAGGCAATGCTGCCAGTATCATGGGCACCTTTGCATCGGGAGCGACGCGGGGCGGGTTATATGATCTGACTTAAAAAAAAAATATATATATAATTGTAACTTAAATGTATGTATTTTAAATTTTTATTAATTAATACATTATGAAAATTTATTTTTTTTCTAGGGAGAAAAGAATTAAACTTCTTTTTTTTTTTTAATTTAATTCAACGAGTCAACCAAAGAGTATTTTTATTTACATTAATTTGTTATACTCATTTACAGTCTGTGGTCTCATATTGTTGTCGTTATTTAGGTCATGTTACTCTATGGTCGTTATGCTAGTCTCTAATAAATAACGATCTTTGAGTTTGAATTTTTAGAAGTTTTATTATAGTAAATAGTTATTTACTGACTGTAATAGTAAGAAATCAATATTCAATATGAGTGACGTGGATGAGATAATTGATTATATAAAATCCCTAAAGAAGGGCTTTGACAAGGACTTATTTCAGAATAAAATTGACGAATTAACATACGCAATTGATACAACTGGAATAAACTACAATGATTTTCACATTTTATTTAAAGTTTGGCTAAATTTATCTATACGTAAGTCTATTTCAACTAATCTACAACAATTTTATTCCAGAGATTATTTTTATACATGGATAAACATATATTTTGTAAAATTTTGTAGCAATAACAAAATGGGTGAGTTTGGGTACTTGTTTGGTGCCCCAGGATAGCGTAGAGGAGCGTACTGTGGAATATGCGCTGAGCTGGCTACTTTCTAATTATGATGACCCATCGACTTTTTCAAGAATAGCCTTTTTGCTGGACTGGCTCACAGGTTTGTACTATTTGTCACAGTGTAAACAAACATTGAGTCTAAATGAATTATTGATTCGTTAGAGTTAATACAATTATTTCTTTGGAGTTATTGATGACACTATACAATTAATACTGACTTAACTCAGCCTTATGGTGTTCAATGAATGTTCCCTGACACTGGTTTCAAATTTCTATAATTTATATTTGTAAACTTAATTTTATTGAACCCATGAATTTGAACTCAACCCAACCCAACCCGGATAAGATTCTTGGTCATATTTCGATCTTTTTAACATTTCTTATACTTTTTGTCAAATCGGTTAGATTTGAAAATATTCTTGATTAAATTTTCATACATTTAACTTTACTGTAAGTACATAAATGAAAATATTTGACTATTTTTAATTTTAGCTGCCATGGAGTGTGCAAATATTGATATGGACAAATTGGACTTGGGATATGATGTTTTTTATATAAGTTTGACATATGAAGCATTGGTAAGTAGTCTTTGTGTTAAGAAAACTTTACAACATATTAATATTACTGACATAGCTTGTTTAACAACCCTACATTATTTATCATGTGTAATAAAATCAATTTAGGGCTGTGCCAAATGTGTATCTGTTATGTTTACAGACACCTCATGCAATGAAATTAGTCTACACATTAACAAAACCGAGTGATGTAACAAGAAGAAGAGTTCTTGAACTGTTAGATTATGCTAAAAAAAGGGAGGCTAAAAAGGTATATATTTACAAATTTTAAATCCCTATTATAATACTTAACAAGACATTATTTAACAACAGCTTTTAATAGTCCACTGCTGGACATGGGCCTCTCCTTAGAAAGGAGGTTTTGGCCTACTGTACAGTGCTGCTCAGAAGGGTTGGTATAGGGTTTGTGTCAAGTTTACCCTCTCTTTGCAGTACTTTGTCCTGCGTAGTTAGCTCTCTTAGTCGCCTCTTACGATACCCACAGGATGAATAGGGTGGTGACCTTCAAATTTTTGATACATCACCACACAGCCTGAGATGGCGAGACATTGCTATATCTTTATAATACTATGGCAGGCTTGTTAGTAGTGATCCACCAGTAAAACAAATGGGTGAATGTCTTACAGATCTGCTTTAAAATTTAACAGCCTATTTTAAGGTAAACATAGTAATAACATCTACATTTGTAATTACCAGACACTGACATAGCTCAAGCTTCTGCACATATAAGATATGTTTATGATAAACCCTTAATTATTAAATGTTTCTTGAGTGTCTTTTTCTTGACTTCATTAGCAGAAAATTAAAATGTGCATGTGTTACTGTCACTCACATTGAACTAGCAATTTACCGGTGTAAGTACCTCAGAATAATATTGTTGTACTTTAAAAGGTCTAAATTCTGTTATAAGACTTTCTTTTGTAGACTTTTATGGTTAAAAAAGGAAAAATAGGCTAATAGTAACTAAGAAAATGTTTGATATTTATTGTAGTCCTTATTAATAATATTACAGAGCATGTACAGACAACTTCAAGTGTTACTGGGTTTGTTCAAGTCTTACAAACCAGAGTGTGTGCCGGAGGATGTGCCAGCTATCTCAATACATACAGCCTTCAAAAAAATCAATGCAAACCTCCTTGCTAGATTTAAAAGGAATCAGGTATGATTTGGAACAACACCTCTTTGGTCTAAATATGACTCTTAATAACAACTGTTTTTGATAGTTTTTGTTGATAATTTAGTTGAAAATATTTCAATTGTTTTATTTGTGAAGACTACTAAGTATTTAAGTTTAAAATTAGTAATAAAATAAAGGATGTGTATAATACCTACTTTGTTTTGCACATAATGAGGTGTCATTTCCAGATTGATTAAATGTAATATATGACCTTAAAATTTAAAAGTGGTATATTAATCCTTAACTACTCTAGTTAAAAGTCTTGCATGAGTGACTTAAATTTGTTGGCAGACAACAATATTATACTCATCAATATACAAAAGTGTACAAAATGGTGTAGACCAGAAGACCACATAGTAAACAGTTTTTTTTTTGCAGGAACGCAGAGATACATTATGTAAAGAGAAAATTCATTTAACCTGGATAAATCCTTTAAATACTGTAAGTATTTTTTGAATATTTTATAATATGCTTTAATGAAATAAAGAACAAATTGAAATTGAAACAAAAGTGAAGTAGAAAGTAAAAAAAGAGTTTCACTGTCCATCTCCTTGCTTCATTTGAAATAGAATCAGATTATTGTTCCCAAGCCTAATCTGTAAGACTCTTCAAAACATATCATCGCTAACTTAGATGGTTTATTAGTAGCTACTGAAGACTTCACCATTCATTTCCTGGCCTCCTCCTCCTGCATCAGATCAGTTACAAGATTTCAAGTTATAGTATTGTCATCCACATTATAGATACAACAATTAGAAGTAGGTTAAAAATGGTCTGTTGATGTCCCTTTCCTAGTGGGGTTTATTGCCCCTCCAGACGTCCGGCGAGAGATAGCTTGTGCAGTAGAGAACCAAAACGAAGAAAACGATCCCCGTCACACACTGTACGATCAGAAGATAGCTCCTGCGCGCTTAAAAAGCCGAAGAAACTTTCTGAGATCAACTCACAATATTTCGAATAGTACTCCTCCACAACGAGCAAGAGAGTAAATGCCACATTTGCTTTCTTGTCCACTGTGCCAGGGCCCTTTCGTCACCGGGGCCCCGAAAAGCGAATACGTAGAGCAATATATTCGCTTACATTGTACTTTTTTTTTTTCTATTTTGGGTCGATATAATCGGACGAAAAAATTATATGTAAATGATGGCTTAGTTAGCGACTTTGAAGTAAACCTTAGGCATTGATAAACCAATGACATTGCAGAATGCCACAGAAAATGTGGCATTGCCAATTTTTCCAGATAGGAAATGGTTAGTTCCCTGTTTCGCCACCATCTAAAGTTTTTGAACTGTAAAATCGCCTTACTAATAGCCTGGTTTTTTCATTTTCAGTAACTGGGTATTTATATAATTACCTTCAGCTTAGCAAATTTGTTTGTAAAATTGATAATATAATAGTTATGAGAGATACCTAAAAACTACCTAGTAAGTTTTTTAAGTTGGGGCATGTAGGTTGCGTTCCAGGAACACCTCAGAAATGAGGATAAACTAGCAATAAAATATGTATGTCATAACAGAAAATAAATTTCAGTATTCAGAATATTATATAAATTTAAAGTGTTGAAATTGGCCGAGTTAATAAGGGATTCGATTGTGTTTTGTTTTCATCAAAATAAAATTTATTATTTATATATGGGTCATTTTTTATGTCATGTAGTGACGCCATTTGACTCCTAATGAAATGAAAAAAGCTGTAGGAATGCCACAAGCGGAAAGAAATCAGTCCTTGGCATTTTGATGTCAATAGGAGCGTCCTTCGTCGTCTTTGGCAGCGTTATGTTAATACAGGAATCCTGCTGAACAGCACCCAGGACGTTTAAAAAGAAGTTTAAAGCTACATTCTCAAGCAGTGTTGTTGTTAGATAACAAACCGTGAGTTATAGGCTGCCTGAATACGGCCTACGGGCACGACGCCCTATTAGGTGCCTACCTACACCCCATGGGAATCACGCCGGTCGAAACTAATGGTGCAGGAAACACTTGACATGGACCCAGGAGCAATGGGTTTGAGCGTTTATTGCCGTGGCCAGCACAATCACCAGAGCTCAATCCCATCGAGCACGCATGGGATATGCTCCAGAGACGTGTTCTAGAGAACCTTGACGGAGTGTCGACAACCCAAAAACTAAAGGACTTGTTGAAATTCCATAGGGAGTGATTGCCGCAGGATCATAGAAAAATCACACTTTGTACTGAATTACCAAATAATTTTAAGAAATGTCATTATTTAATTTTGTAAAACATGAAAAGTTTAATTTTATTTTAACTTTATTTTATACTACGTATTTTACGGTAGACATTGTTAGCTATTGTGAGTAAATGAACATTTGAATATAGGATTTTATTGCTTTAGACACTAATGTATCAATGAATGCTTAGTTATTATTTATAACAGAAAAATATATATTACAATAGTAAAAATCGTTCAAAAGTTCAAAACCGTAAATGTTGTTTAGTTTTTTTTGTTTTTTTTGGTGAGTATATTTGTATCTGTCCAACAGGGCGCCATATTGTGGGGCAGTGGCATGGCTTAAGAGGGCCTTGCCACCAATAGTATATGCCAAGAGGCCTCCTCCTCCCCTACTAATTTACAAAAGTATATCTAAATTTTACCTACCTACCTTTTTACTTTGTTGCGTTTGAAAACGACTACATTTTCAATTTCCAATAAGGGTGTGTGTCAGCCCATCCCCCCTCCATAAAGTGTCTGGACAAAACTCATAGCAATAACCAAGTCCAGATAAAAATATTTGTATTAATTTAAAAAAAACGCAGCTTCATTCATGTGTCGTGTATGATCAGATGGTTAAATTCTTAATAATTTCAAATTAATTACATAATAACAACATTTATTGCAGAAGCGTGGTAGAAATGCTAAGGCAGATCCGTTAGTACCAAACATGGCGTTCCTCAACATTGGCTCTAGGCAAAGTGCTGACAAGGAACCAAAAAAGAACTTCCTAGATTTCACAGAGTAAGTTGATATATGTTCGTATATAATAGTAAAGTAATATAATATTTATATGTAAATATGTAAAGTAATATAATATGTAGACAAAGTTTCTTAATACTAATGTGAGTTTATGCGGTTACTTACGGTGGACGACGCAGCCGCGGTCATTCGGTATTCCTATACTCTGCATACAGTATTTATTGGTATTTAGTGTTATTTATGCTACATTGTCCTCATGTTGTTTTATTTCACTTAGAAACAATGGAACCAAAAATTTAGTAAAACAACTGGGGCAAAAAATATTTTTAATAGCATTTACGTGCAATATAAGTGTTAAGTAGTGAATGCTACTATAATGTCACTATAATGTTCTAGACACTCATTAGCATTGTCATATGTTTTAAGTCCAGTGTCGGTGGTGCAGTGTGGGCTGCAGAAGTCGTCGTGTCGGCCGGCACGTCTGCGAGCACTGCTGTGCAACGCGACCGGTGTTGCGCTGTTAGCTGTCGCCTCACACGCTGATCACGCCTTTCTCTCCTATGACTTGCACCATCTTCTAAATACCTGTAAGTATTCATATGGTTTGATAGTGTCAGTATTTCTGTTGGTCTAGTGGTTATGGCCCTGACTGCTAGTCCGGAGGTCGTGGGTTTAATTCCCACACAAGTAATTGTGTGATGAGCACGATCATTTGTTTTAACCGGGTGTAATATATATATAATATGTATGTATTATTTAAGTATGTTTATCAGCAGGCTGGTTAAAAAAGCTCAGGCTCTGCCCTGCCTTTGATCAGACGGCTGTGTGTTTTTTGTATTTTGTTTTAATATTTTATTCCTTTATCAGTCATGTTCCATTCTAAGTGCTGCGATAAAATATTTATCAATGTTCGTACTGTTAAAAATTACACAAAATTTGACAATACTTAATTTAACTATGTTTGCGCCATTTGGGCTGAGTATAAAAACTGATATCGTAGGATTTATCGACCTTGTGATTGTTGTATTGTAGTAGGGTATCTGGTTATTTGCCTCGTATCGCTGGATCTGGTCGTATCGCTGTAAAAAGTCTATATCCTTTCTCCAGAATCAAAGTATCTGCATACCAAATTTCATCTAAATCGGTTCAGCGGTTATTGATTCCCCATACAAACTTCCACCCCCTCTTTCACCGCCTTAAAGGGTGATTTCTGGGATAAAAACTATTATATGTCCTTTCCTGCTGCTCAAATTATCTCTATTCCAAATTTCATCTCAATCAGTTCAGTGGTAACAGACAGACAGACACACTTTCGAATTTATAATATTAGAATGGATTCGCTTCTGGCCAGCGTGGTAAAGTAGGCCGCAACCTCCTTTCTAAGAAGGGGCCTTATGTTCAGCCATTAAATACTGTTGTAAGAGTGCACTTTTTCATTTTAAAATAAAAACACGTATTTTATGAAAGAGTTGTGATATTTTTATTGGATTGTAAAGAAGATATGTTACGATTAAGTATGGAACAAAATATCCGGCAAATGGCCCCTACGGCTCTGATGACAGACCATTACTCTTTTCATGAAATTTTCCACACCGATGATGTGTTGCATCTCTGATTTGAGCTTAGGAATTTCACATAACTCTAAAGAAAAAAATATGTCACAATTATACTCAATGTTAAAATAAATTAATATGTGTCACTTGCAGGTTTCCTAGATATTTCGCCACACAGCTATATGGAGAAACAAGATCTACTACACCGACTGGCAGTACTGCAGCATACACTGATGCAAGGGATACCTGTCATTACTAGGTTTCTTGCCCAGTATCTACCTTTATGGAACGAAAAGGATTACTTCGCTGAGGTACTATCATTATCATCATCATCAAGAGCCTTTAATAGTCCACTGTTGGTCATAGGCCTCTCCTTAGAAAGTCGGCTTTGGCCTGTTATACCATGCTGGCTAGACAGGTTGGTATAGTGTTTGTTTTAAGTTATCCTTCTCTTTACAGTGCTGAGGTACTATATTCCATTTAAATTATATGAGTTGAGGGTTTAGGCTTCATTTTAGGGTTGGTCCTTGTCTTAATAACAGCTCTTCATGCTATTGGAGTCGCAGAGTGGCACCGTGTAGTTTCAGTCGGTTCGATTCTGACACACTTCCCAGGCGCAAAAACTGGTCCCACCAGTTTTTGCGCGGACGACCCGAGGGGGTCACGTAAAAAAAAGGTATTCGACTTCCTTTGTCACTTAACTTACGATGAACTTGCTATTTTTCAGATAATGGAGCTTGCACAGTGGTTGAGTGTGGATTCAGTTGAGCATACCATGTTTGTAGTGGAGCCTTTGATACGGATATACCACAGATCTCAGCCAATCGAACAGTGTGCCATACTCAAGTGTTTGACCAACATGTATTCTAACCTAGTAAGTTTGAACAAATAATTGCGTGTGGTGTGTTCATAAGTATGCTGCTATTGGTAATGAAATGTTAACTAGTCCGTTTATTTACAGATACTTAATTTGAATTAGAAAGTCTTTCAGATACTCTTATAGATGGGTCGGGTAGATCTTGTAGCAATCAGTAGACTATTTGACAGAAAAGATGACAAATATATTATTTTTTCTAGGTGTTGAGCAGTACGCGGTCCCGCCAACACTTCATGGGAGCGGCACCCCCGCAAAACTACACGGAGCTGCTGCCGCGGGTCGCGGCCGCCATCAGCGAAATGAGCAACAAAGCCCTGCAAGTTACACCTGGTATGAGTCCCCACTTTATATTTGTATCGTAGGCTGATCGAGTTATGCCTGAATACTTAATGAAAACAAGTGTTTAAGTGAACACCCACCCACCAGAATCAGTCCCTTTTTACACGCTTTATATTAGCTTCACTTGTATGTTTGTTTGTATGTTTGTAAGACTCCTTTGGGCGTGATTTTGACTGACTTTTAAACGGTCAGAATTCCTTCAAACTTTGTAGATATATCGAGGACCGATGACAATACACTAATTTAAAAAAAAAAAATAGACAAAAATTTAGTTTTTAAAAACTAAAAAACATGCTTTCTATGAAAGCGTGTTATATAGTTTTTTTAAATTATAATTTTTAAAATGTCAAATTGTCAAATGTAAATTTTTACGAAATGGCGAGTATTGGATAGGCATATCGAGACTTGCCATATGATCAAGCAGATCCCGATAGCTACGCTATACAATTGACCTCTATGTGTGTTGTAACAATTGCCTACATATCATGCATATCGGCAATATTGATTGTTGTTGTTTTGCATATTTTTATTTTACTTTAGTTGCATTAAATCCGCCAAAGAACTTGTTTATCTAATAATTTATCAGAACACAATCTCAACAGTATGACTTATACAAAGAATATTGAGGAGATCAAAATTTTTCACTTTCTTGACTCTTACCGGAATACGGAGCGTGGGTAGGCTCCCCCACAAGGTGGTCCGACGACCTGGTGAAGGTAGTGAAGAGCCTGTGGATGCGGGTAGTACGGCACCGGTTGTTGTGGAGAGCCTTGGGGAAGGGCTTATGTCTAGATGTCTTTCGGTTGAGATGATGATGATCTCTTGGAACTTCGAAGGAGTCTCGTCGTGCGATGAACTGTAATAATAATATTTATTTAGATAATGAGTACAATAGTTTATAATAAATGGTTTTCTAATTTATAAATAAAATACATGTGGTGACGGATTAAGAATACGGAGTGTAGCCACCACTATTCATCCCGTGGGTGTCGTAAGAGGCGACTAAGGGCAAACTACGCAGGACAACAGCACTGCAAAGAGAAGGAAAACTTGACATAAACCCTATACCAACCCGTCTGGCCAGCGTGGCATAGTAGGCCAAAACCTCCTTTCTAAGGAGAGGCCTATGTCCAGCAGTGGACTGTTAAAGGCTGTTGATGATGATGATTGTTTGCACGAACTAGATTGAACCTGGCCTTGGGCGAAGAAGTGCAAACAAACTATTTTATCAATATAAATCTACATAAGTATAATTAAGTACTAAAATTTTAGTAATAGCCTACATAAGCACCTAACAGTACCAGTGATAAGTGGGTCAAAAATAATGCATTAAGACCGTTCAGCCAATTTTTATTTACATATTTCAAGTAACTGCTCAGTTTGCTGATATGACAAAATTTGTAAGTAATTATGTAACGTGTTTTTACAGCTAACATAATTTAATTTATAAATACTTAGCCCACTATTTAATCTATTATATAGAACTTAACTTTGAGCCTGATCGTGGGGCACAGACTATATTTTCTACGTATGGATGAAACGCCATAGTCGAACACTAATGCTGTGGAAGTCGGTGCACCCATTACTAAACTTACTATTATTTAACATTACTAAAAATTCGTTTCGAAATAATTTGTCTCATGGGTCTTTTTCTTGCAGACGACATGCGAGTCCTGTGCAGTGTCGTGCGTAGCGCGGAGCGGCGCGCTCGCAGCTGCGTGCGCGCGCGCGCGGTGCCCGCCGCCCTGCAGCCCGTCGCGCCGCTCGCCCTGGCGCTGCCGCTCGTCTCCGTCTCCGCTTGTCTCATAGACACTGTCGCCTCGCTCATGATATTGTAAGTGCCACCACCCGGTGTTGGACCGACCCTTCGATTGGGAGCATGACTATATTCGCCTACCATCTAGTGACAGAAATGCTCTTTTGCCACCTATAGCACAAGAAAGTGTTATTCCTGATCCAAAACTTGATGTAATTTCAAATTAGTGTTGACTAAATTGTTTCGCAGTCGTTACGACTCATGCTGTAGGTGCTGCAAAAGACATCGAACACTGACATCGATGAAAATTAAAATATGCCAAAATAATTTGAACGGCAGCTTATTCACTATTTAATAATAAACTTTACTGCTTCCATACTAATTGACTCGCTAACTATTTCAGGTACAGAAAGATATTCTCGTTACTGAAAACATCAAACGATCTCAAAAAAGATGACGATGCATATTCAGAACAAATGCAAGTTCTTCAAGCCTACACCTCAGATTTGATCAACTGTTTGTACAGCGAAGAAATATTGAGCGCACGAAAGACAGGTTTCGTCTTCGAGAAACTTCACCCACAGCTTGTGGACAAACTTGGGTCTCTGATGCCTGACGTAGATTCTAAATTAAGCATAAGGAACAGTATAGCTTTCTCACCTTACACCTACATACAGCTAGACGCTATTGATTATAGAGATGCAGATAATAAACTGTGGTTTAATGCAGTTATAGATCAGGAGTTCACTAACCTCAGTAGATTCCTAAAGAAAGCATTGCCCGAGTTGCGGTATAACTAATACTAAGATTGAGGAAGGTGGCAAGTGCCTTTTTCTGTTAGCACATTAATATAAACAATCACAAAAGCAATGTACTATACTAGGGCATAATAAGATTTACAAAGAGTTTGACTGTAAAATCGTGATGAAATTATTAATAACCAGTTTTTAGAGCTATCTTTTGAATTTACAGTCACAATCATGACTGTCTTTTCTTTCTTTTTTTTGTTGACGGGGTGGAAAATCCTTTCGGATCTTCTGCTCTTCGGGGACTCTGGAGCCTGGAGTATATCGTGATTCCACTAAAAACCGTCCCGACGGCCGGCCTCATGTGCCCTACTCTGATAGGACCCGGATGTCTTAACCTTAGATTACATAAATCTTTTTTATATTACAATAAAAATGCTATTTAACCTTTTATAGGGGGTAGTTTATCACATTCGAATCCATCAGTATGTAGACCGATTTTGATCCAAGTTCATAGAGGTTTTTATTTTTGCTGTATTTGCTAAGTAGAGTTTATCGGAATGTTAAAAGCCGACGACCATTGATGAAAGAAAAACAATTATACAAAAGTTCAGTAGGATCCATCGCTCATAATAGCAAGAATCGATACGTAGTCGAGGCGCGGACGCACAAGTGATGCCACGCTTCTAAACGTTTTCTTAAAGAACAAATGACAGGTAGCCTCCCATATTGGAATCGCAGCACGGGCGAGGCGAGGGTGCCTGCCCGGCTACATCGCTACTCCGCTACTCCGCTGTCATTTCGTTCCGTGTGTTGCTGCTGCGTTTAGTCGTGAAAATGAAGATTTTAAAACCAATATGAAATTAAAAACAAGTAGGTCTTCAGCCCCCGTTCTACATAGAGAAAATGCCTAGATCGAGCCCCGTTGCCACCGTGACTATGCTTGGACTTACCAATGAGCGACGCCCCTTAGAAACATTGATTGCTCAATGGTAGGAGTGGAGAGGAGAAAAGCTATTTTGGATTTTTTTTATCTTTAAGCGGTCGCCACGCCACTTCCTACTACGCTGTGTTGTGGGTTCGATTCCCACGTGGGACCACACTTTGTGTGATCTACAAATTGTTTTTTCGAGTCAGGGTGTTCTTTGTGTCCGTTTTATGTATGTTTGTAAAGTCCCCCGCGACACAGGAGATGTCTGTTCAGATGTCGTCTTAAAAAAAAGCAACTAGTAATCTATAGTTGTATATACTTTTTTAAAGAAAAAAATTTACATAGGAAGTAATTGGTCTGAACGCGCTTTGTGATTAGTTAATATCGACTTTCAACCTAGTCGACTAACCTAAACTAGACATCTTAACTTGTATTTTCTTCTTGAACCACATTTATATTATTAAATATCATTCTTAAGTTTTAAACTATATTTTGGTACCTGCTTTGTATGCAACTTTTTAATAATGTTAAATAGATATATAATTGGCATCACTGCCTAATAAACTGTAAAATATATTAAGTTTAGCATCCCACCATTTTTAAAGGAAAGTTAATAAATAAGCATTTAATAATTTTGCTTCTTATTTTATTACCCTATGGTTAGAATAAGACATAGTACATAGTACGGACTGGCCTATTGATGTAGTGGTAAGGGATCCTGACTAATTGCGAGATCCAAATCCTTATCCTGATTGCTAAGACAGAGGTTGTGGTATCGCAGGGTGTTACTGCCTGTGTCAACTTTCTCCTGATGTCATGTACATTGCGTACATATTGTTATGAGTGCCAGTTACGTACATTGGTACAAGAAGATATATTTTGGTCTTATTATGAAGTACTACATTACTTATACTAATTTTACTAATTTCTCTAATAAACTTTAATCAAAATCAAATTATGCTAGTTATACTAATATAATATATTTTTCTTTCTGATGAGAACATGGCTATTATAAATATTGAGTGTTCATCGTCACAAGGATAACAACATAATAAATAGTTGATGGTAATACATACGTTGTCGAGTACAGGTGTCCGTCCAACACACGCACAAACAACAATAGTTACACCAAGTTAACATGCTAACACATCATCATCATCAACAGCCTTTAGTAGTCCACTGCTGGACATAGGCATCGCCTTAGAAAGCTAACACATTATATAATACTATGACAAAGATTTGTTTTCAATGATAAATTGAAGCAGGTTGCCTTTAAATGTGTTGAACGACGTGATATTTTTATAGGTGTGGGTATTTTGTTGTAAAAGCGCGCTCCTTCACACGTAGTCATCATTTTAGTTCGTGCGAGTTCTTGGCAGAGCGAGATAGCTAGCGCGGCGCGTGCGAGTCCCGGGGTTAGCAACCTTTTATGGTTTGTGAAATTCGTGGTGGTATGTGAAAGGTGGTATGAATATTTTTGTTAATTGCTTTGCGTATAAAAATGCAACTGTTGTAGGTGTATAATTGTTTGATTGTCATTAGCTTTGTTTCATTGTAAATTTTGTTAAATTTTGTGCGATAATGATAATTAAAAAAAGTTTTAATGATTTTGTTTTGTAATATTTGTAGTTAAGCTATTCTTGTTTTGGCTGCACTGCCCCAGATTCAATTAAGTAAATTAATTGTGGTTTTACGGGTACATTTTAAATTGTATAGCGTAGTTTAGTTGGTATACATAGCACAATATGGCGAAGGGTGCCACAGAGTTTCACTAATTTCGTTTTAATTAAATCATAATGGGTTTTTTATGTTAATTGGGTGTCCATATGTAGACTGAGATATTTTTCATGGTGTTTTTGTTGCAATGGGATATATAGTGAGTGGTGTGTGCGTCGGCACGGACTCGTTTCTTTGCTTTGCAACAATGTAACAAATCGTAGCAAAATTTATACTTAGAAGGTAATAATGTCTAGATCTTGTTGAGCACGCGAAATTATATCATTCATTGACGAACCGAAGTGAAACAAACATGTATCATCCGCTTATAGAGTTATGTATCCTTTTAAAACTAATTCGTGCATGTTGTTTACATACACCGTGAAGAGCAAAGGGCCTAAAATTGATCCTTGAGGAATGCACAAGTTATTGAAAGTGGGTTAATTTGGGTATAATTGTCTATTTTAACGATTTGAGATCTGTTTTTGAGGTAGGACTCGAATATGTGTAACGCTTTGCCTAATATGTGTAAAGCAGTTTATGACTTATGCTATCGAAAGCTTTTTTAAGGTCGATGAATATATCCATTCATATATTATAGTTAATATTATGGCTTATTTTAGTTATGAGAACAATAGTAGCAGTGTGTTACTTTTCGGTCTAAACCCATATCGCAGTCCCCGACGAACAAAATCGTAATAGGAAAATAACAATTTTACAGGAGCAAATAAAAACTGAATATCTTGAATACTATCAAGACTAAAAAGAAGATTATTTTATCAAAAATAAGGAAATATTTTTTTGCACTAGATTTTTACTAAATTTTTATCATAAATTTTCTTTATCAGTAAGAAAATTGTGAAAATGTCCATTACTGAAATAAGCTATGGAAAAAATTAACGCAAACTAACTTTACGATAGTGTTCGACTGTAATCACAAATCGGTGTTGCTGTAGTAATCGTTCATTATGATATTGTTCCATGGTAAATATGAATATACTTTATATTCGTAAAATGACATTGCAATCGTATTCGATGATATAACTGACTTTAATATTACGGTAAACATAAATTACATGTTTATTCGATGATCATTTTTAGGTGTTATAACTATTTCGGTACCTATGTATAAATTCTGATTCTGATTCTGTCGTTTTTCCCTCGAACAATATGGTAATAGCCGCTTACTCTAAAATGTTGACTTTTGAGATTTGGTAATAGGTTTTTGCGTTATTGATCGTGTAAATTTTTCACTTATGTTATACGTTGAACAAAAACATAAAGATCATTATTGAATGGATAAATCCAAAAGTATTCATCGCCCGATCATAAAAAAAAATCAATGATTGTAATAGGGTGTGTAGATAACGAATATCTAATAAACCCGATTCTATCGTAATAGCGATTACCATAGTGTTCGTCGGGGACTGCGATATTGACGTTTGAGTATGCAACTAATGGATGTCAAGTAGTTTTCTACGTTTGTGTAAGTAATACTTTTTCAAGGATTTTTTACAATACGGGCAACACAGAAATAGGTCGCTAGTTACCGGGATCTGTTCGTGCCTGATTTAACTTTTGCAATTTTAGTGAGTCCGGGAAAACCGTCCGTTCAACAAGAGATTGTTAAAGCATTTTATTAGGCTATCCATAATCAAGGGTTTGAGATATTTTATCATTTTTGTGTTAATACCATCCTACCCGATACTGCAATTGACGTTTAACTCACTAAAGTATGCATTTGAGACTTTACTGTGAGTGAGTGCGGCAGAGCACGGTCACCGCACTCAATACGTGAAAAGCATGAAAGAATTGATTAACATTGGTTTTCTGTGAGACTGTGGTAGCGAGCGCGAGCCAGCCCATGTGTGTCATTGAGATGTGTCAAATTATAAAATATCAAATAAAATCCTATACCTATCTACTATGCAGACGGAAATACACAATGACATTATTTCTGGGGGCCTAGTGCAAGTTTATTTAATATCGACTCGCTCTCGACGATGACCGCGTTTAGCGTTGCGATTGAAGAAGAGTTCAGAGGGCCTAGTGTCAGTTTATTTCACATCTACTTTCTCTCGGCTCTATGCTACTTGTTATTTTCGTATTGTTAACAAGTTGAGAGTTACCAAAAATACTCTGCTTAATAACAATGATTCAACAATTTCAAATTTACATAAAAACAAGGCTATTTAATATGTCTTAATATTCTTTAAAACTGAGGGTTTAAAACTGTGACCATGTTTAGAGCATTTAGGTACATAACTGATGGAAATATTAGTAAATATACACACAATAATAAAACAAACAACGGACAACTAAGGATCACACAAATATTTGATACCGATTGAATTGTCGCTAAGGTGACGAGTTACTACCCTCACATTGTTCAAATTCATCTAAGTAC